ACGTAGGGGCTGCAATCAGAGTTCTGATTCTCCAGACTTTCGGGGTTTTAGGGAGTTTTTTGGGGGGATGAGGGTTTAGGGATTCGTGCCGCAAGTAAAAAAACTAGGGTTGTTCTTACATTCCGGAGCTAGTGACAGCTAGTGAGTGTGATGTGAATCCCCTCAAGTGGTGTCTTTTGTTTGAGCTTCGAATGAGAAGCCGCGAGCCCTGAACTGCTAAACCCTACCAAAACCCACTTTTGTGTAGGGCCACTGCAAAAATTCCTTATACATCAGATGAAGGTAAGTCTTAAACTACTAAAGCAACTCTACGCCTTTGACCCCCAAAGCAGTAGAGTACTTCTCGCACGCTTTGTTTATCACGTGCCTTTCACCTAATTCATGCAAGCCCCCGGAAAAAGTCTCAGATCCCAAAGGGAGCTGCAATTCGGACAAGCAGATGAGGCGGGCTTCCTTGCTGGGTGGGGCAGCCGCGGAGAGAAAAGAGGTAGTCCTGGACGCCGAATAGCTCAATTACCTTCTCAGGGCTCCTTAATATGATTTCCTCACAAAAGTTCCAATAATATTTGCGAAGGTAGGCCATATTCTGATTCCTAAACCCCAAACCCTAAGCCCTAAACCCTAAACCTAAAGTTTAAGGTCTAGGGCAGCTAATCCAACGAGGGGTTAGGGCTTAGGGTTTCAGGAGTTTTAGGGCTTAGGGTTTCAGGGTCTAGGGTTCTTTTGGGTTCAGGGTTTAGGGGCTTTAGGCCTTCAGGGCTTTTAGGGTTTAGGGTTAAGGGAGTTTTTTGGATTTAGGGCTTTTAGGGTTTTAAGCGTCGGGGTGGCAGGGGCGAGGTCGGATTACCTTGCGAAGGAGAGTTTTACGGCTCTAGGAGCTCAGTGTTCAGGGTTTAGAGTCTTTGGGTTCTAGGGTGTTCCAGAAAACCTTAAACCCTAAACCCCTGAACCCTAAAATCTTACCCTAAACCCTAAACCCTAAACCCTAAACCGTGTTTTTTTTGGGGTTTAGGGGTTTAGGGTTTGCCCGGTTCGGCGCCCTCGATGCGGTGCTGCGTTTCGGGGGTTCCCAGCGGACTGCTTACCTCATACAGTGCCGTCCTTGCTTAAAACCTACCCCTAGGGGTCGAAAGGATCCAGCAATTAGGTACTCGGTTTTAGGATTTAGGGTCTAGGGTTTAGGGTTTAGGGTTTAGGGTTTAGGGGTTTTGTAGGTTAGCATTTTTGGAGAGTATATGGTCATTAGGTACTTGGACCCGTAGGGCTACCTCAGTTTAAGGGTTTTTCCACATACAGTCTACACCTCGAAAGCCTAAGCCCCAAACCCGAAATACCCAATCTTTAGATAGCCAATGGGAGAACGCTAAAACTTTGTCGGCCTTTTATATTAGGTCTATCTTAAAACCTTTGAACTATTTGGGCCTGATCGTTGCCCCCTAGACCCTATAAACCCTAAACTTTAATCCCTAATACCCTAAAGCCTAAACCGTATAAACCCTGAACTTGAAGAAGAGGGATCCTAAAACCCTAAACCCTAAACCCTAAACCCTAACTGCAAGCACCTGTATGGCATCCTGCAGCCTTGGAACACAGCTTTGACCGGAGACCGGTTTAGAGTTTAGGGTTTAGGGTTTAGGGCCTCGACGACCTCCGTTGCTTTAGATAACGCATGATGACACCTGGCCCACCCCAAACCCTATAAAACCCTAAACCCTAAACCCTAAACCCTAAACCCGAAACAAAATCTAGCCCCGAGCCGGAACCTCTACTGACGGAGGCTTTGAGTCTTAATCAGACTTGGGTTCTCACTGGGTTGTCTGATTTGTGGTACGGTGTTAAAAGAGTTCCTGAAAGGGCCCGCACAAATTCGAACAGAGTGTGGGAGTATATGATATATAGTTATCCGAAACCAGTCGTATAGTTGCATCGGGACTGTCACAGGGTAGCATCTTCTTTCATTCAGACCACTAGTTCTGTTGGGGGCGTTCCTTCCCCAGATAAAAAGCTGCCTTCAACCGCGAGCAAGCTGCCCGTTTTTCCGTTCTCTCATTCCTGTCTGGGACCAAGACAGTGTGAGGCCTGGCACATTGTAATGTGCCACATGATGTGCACGGTTTAGGGTTCAGGGTTTAGGGTTTAGGGTTCAGGGGTTTAGGGTTTAGGGTGCTCCCTAAACACTAAACTTCTAAACCGTCCCAGTACCAGCCAGCACATGTACTAGAATCACTGGCGTCCCTACCATGACAACTGCCTATCCCCCATTGCTGCGTTACTCCCTGTGCTTTCTTCTATTGCCACGTCTGCTACCAGTGCCTGTATTGTCGGTACTACGACTCTGTGCCTCAGATATTATCTACGAACCCTATGTCCTAAACCCTAAACCCTAAACCCTAAACCCTATGTTACATAATTTGTGGTTTGGTTTCCTAATATCTCAACGTGTAGCCCGCACACCGGAGCTCTTTCCGTCCTTACAGGGACAGCGTGATGGCTGAGGACCTCCCACTGATCGTGCTCCATTCGCACAACGTCCCATGCTTCTTCGAAGTATTTCCGAAGGTAATGCAAGGAGGTGCCGTGGGCGCGCATTCAACCACGCATCGCTTAAGTGCATAGCCGTGGGGATTTAAAAGTTTTGCTGTCGGTACAGATCATCAGCGATAGGCGCATTATGTGCTTATGAGCCCTAAACCCTAAACCCTAAACCCGCTTGAATTTATCATATAGAGTTCCCCTCAGTCGAAGCCCTGCTCTAATCCTTCAAGCCCCACATATAGGTTCCGATACTGTCCTATAAACTCCGCACTGGCTCCTCGCCAGCCCCCACATGCTCGACGAAACTAGGGTTTACTTGGAGGTTCAGGGGTAGTTATAAATGGGGTCATAAGTAGAATAACTATAGTTATAATCCATATTAGGGGACTTATAAGTCCATCGAAAAGTCCCCTAATATGGGTTATAATTATAGTTACGCTACTTATATCCCCAGTTTTCACTACCCATGAACCTCCAAGTACCCTTAAACGTCAGGTGCCTTATAGAAGGTCGATACCTCCTGGAAGCCTCATAGAAGCCCTATATACCCTAAACTCCCCACCTGCATGTAGTTTCCTTTATATACCTGTTATCGTGTTTCCTCACAGTATACTTAGGGGTACTTAGAAATACATTTTAATCTTTGGTTACTATAAACCCCAAGAAGCAGCTAAAATTATAATTTTTGCTAGGGGTCTAAGTTCAGTATAGTACAGAGGGATCCTGAAGTTCGGAGATTTGAGCCCCAGAGTGTGAAGCTGATGCAACAAACATGGGTAGTAGCCTGCAGTTTCCTTTAACTTAGGGTTCAGAACCCTAAACCCTAAACCCTAAACCCTAACCTGTAGTTTCCTTTAGCTTAGGCTTCAGAGTGTTCGAGCTTTGGTGAAGATTTAGGGGTGTTCGGGAATCCTGCACCTGTCAGCTTTAATCGAGGGTGATATAAGGCTTTTTAGGGTTTAGGGTTTAGGCTTAAATCGAGGGTGATATAAGGCTTTTTAGGGTTTAGGGTGTAGGGTTTAGGCGGCTTTTCAGGGTTTAGGGTTTGGGGTTTAGGCTTAAATCGAGGGTGATATAAGGCTTTTCAGGGTTTAGGGTTTGGGGTTTAGGCTCAAATCGAGGGTGGTATAAGGCTTTTGGGTGTTTCGCGCGGTTCCTTCAGGGTTTCATGTCAGAGTCTTATCGCGCTATGAGCGCTTAAATGTCTGGGAGTTTTGGGTTTAGGGTTTTAGGGTTCAGGCGTTTAGGGTTTGGGGGTTCAGCATTTACAGGTTGGAAGGGTATTCAGTTTGCCTGTATGCAAGCCTTGCTTTACTTATGCCCAGTTTGGCAGGGAGGAGTTGGGCTTACAATAGGCATGCGTGTGCATCTCTCTCTCTAATACTCGGCTATATGCACTTATAGTCTAGGACATTTTCAGGGCGTAGTTACCGTTATAGGAGCCTATAGAAGGTCTATATACCTTATAGAAGCCTTATAGAAGCCCTATAGACCCTAAACTCCCCACCTGTAATCTCCTTTAGTATAGACAGACATGTTTAGCGCTCAACGCCGAGATGGCATCTTCTGCAACGAGATGGCATCTTCTGCAACTATTTCAAGGCGTTGCCGTCAACGCTGTCTAGCACCTGTTGGCTAAAAGTTGCTGAAACGAGATTCGAGGATGGAAGCATAGCTCACCTGATAGTATAGAGTGTAGCAATGTGGTAGTGTAGCAAGTAGTATGGAACTACAGTAGCATTGTAGTTCTGCGATGTTGCATTGTTGTAGCATAACAACGGTATAGTAGTAGTGGCTCCAGTGGCTCTAGTGGCAGTAGCAGTCGTAGTCTTAGTCGTAGTCGTTGTCGTAGTAGTAGTAGTAGTAGTAGTAGTAGTAGTTTTCGCAGTAGTAGTACTAGTAGTAGCAGTAGTAGTAGCAGCAGTAGTAGTAGTAGTAGGAGTAGTAGTAGTCGTCGTCGTAGAGAAAGTAGTAGTAGGAGCAGCAGCAGCAGTAGTAGTGTAATAGCCGTCGTCGTAGTAGCAGTAGTCGCGGTAGTAGTAGTAGTAGTAGTAGTAGTAGTAGTAGTAGTACTAGTACTAGTACTAGTACTCGTAGTAGTAGTAGTAGTAGTAGTAGTAGTAGCATCAAAAGCAGTAGTCGCCGTCGTTGTCGCCATCGCCGTCTTGGTAGTAATGGCCAGAAAAAGAGCAAGACGAGTAAGATTTTGGCGCACACAGAATGACACCAAGGGACCGAATAGAGGAGCGGTAACAGTAGTCGGAGTCGCGAGAAGTAAGAGTAGTAAGAGTAGTAAGAGCTTGTCTGCGTAGCAATAGTAGAAAGAGTAGAAAGAGTAGAAAGAGCAGTAAGACAGGCGAGAAGTAACAGGAGTAAGAGTAGCAAAAGTAGCAAGAGTAGTAAGGAGAGTAAGAATAGTAAGAGTAGGAGTTTGATAAGTAGCAGCAGCAGTCGCAGCAGTGGCCTCAGCGAGAGCAATTGGCAGGCTTCTGGTTCCCGGCCTGCCAGCGGCTCATGGCTTCGTGCGCGAGGGACATCGCCGCTTGCTGCGGATCATCCAAATTCCTGCCAGACGCAGCTTTATCCGAAGTTGCTCTAACCGGTGGAGCACAAACTGAAAAACTTGAAACGCAAAGTGCACAAAGCCACATGGGCTCGGAACCAACACCTACAGGCTTGACATGGCTTAACACAGCTCACGGACCAAAGTCCTGTTGACCCAATTGACTGCAGTGGTGTCGGACATTGTCGCCCACACACCTCCACTCCTCGGCGCCAGAAAGCTGCCGGTAGTTTTCGGCAGGACCCAGGCTTCATCGCAGATGTACTGCACCCTTCCTTTCGGCTCGCTCGTCACGGGAGCTGCAACCCCGCTGTAGAAAACTACGCACTGTTCGTGCTGAGCCCCACGCCCGAGGAGCATGTAACTCCCTTCTGGAAGGTCCTAGCACTCCAGGTGCCAAAAAATGTTAGGAAAGAGGCTCGGTATGCTCTACAGAATTCTCTCCTTGCGCACCAGCTTGCAGATGCTGGGCTTATGCGTCACCCCGACCTTGACGGAGGAAACTAAGCAACTGATTGCATTGCGGCAGGACCCGGCAAAAGAGTAGCTGAGAGTTGCTGGTCGGAGGGCCCTAAACATCTCTCCAAAGCCTCAATGCCTGCAGAAAAAACTTGCGTCGCTGTGGTGCCCTGCGGTGTGGCCTAGCCGATGGCCCAAACCACGGGTCACAGCCAAGCCTGAGTTTAGGGACAGGGTCTTCCGCCACCTTGAAACTCGACTACTTCCATGGTGAGCAGTGGCAGTGGGACAATAATGATGATGATGTATGATGATGCCATGCCTAAGCTCATACACTTATCAATTGCCAGAAGCCAGTCAGCATACGAATGACATCCATCTAGAGAGCCTCCGAAAGGAGGTCTCGTTCCCCTTTTGCTGTACAAGAGCAAGGCTGTGTCTCGCTGGGTTGTGCCAGGTGCCCTGCTGGGATAGCTCGACTCGCCCACAAAGAGGCGGCACACCTTGTCGTGGACCTTTGCCCCCAAGGACTAAGAACCAAAAACCGGAAGCTAAGCCCTGGCACCCGCGCCCCAGACCCCCAGAGACCCCCCTAGCTGCGAGCAAAGCCACGAGCTTCCTGACCTCGGCTCCGGCCTCCTGACAGGGCCGCGGGGCCCGCCGGGCCGCCAAGCACTTCCCCGCACCCCCACTTTCCGTGAGACTCCCCTTCTCCTTCTTCAAAAACCCCTAAGGGCGCCCGAGAGACGCGGCCTTCGCCCTGTCAAACTCCTTCTTGACGCAGAGCTTGTGATCCTGCGTCGGAGTCAACGAAGAAAACTCCTCAGACCCAGGACCCAGGCTTACCGGCAGGCAAAGTCGGGTCAGATGCAGCTGCAACCGACGAAGTTTCGGAGCTATAGATATCCTCTGTCAAGCGTTGAGGGAGCATGTGGAACTCACGAGCGTTGCCGGCGGTGTCCGGCACCTTTTCGTTGTGAGCCCGGACACTAACACGTCTGCATCGTCTGACCATTGGCGTCCGTTCTCTATTCCGAGGTCTGGACCGCGAGAATACAGCGGCAGTCACCAACGTGGGCTATCCAAACGTGCCTTGTAGTGACTGCACTATCCTCACCCTTCCAACATGTCCTTAGAGCATCAAACACAACTCGACGAATGCTCGGACGGAAGCTCTGCGTTCAGCAGAACGACTGTCACCGAGGCTCCTGGCCAAAAGCTCAGCATGAAAGGGCTTGGGTCTGCTCCGACGGATGTCCTGTGAGCGTCACGTCCAGTTGCATGGCAGCAGCGGTGTGAACCTGGAAGCGGCATCTGCCAGACAATGGTCCCCTGAGACCTGTAGGACTGCAGGCTTCAACCTTGGCGAAGGCGTCGGTCAAACCCTTCGCCTTGGGGCACAGCAATGATGCACAGGCAGAACAGCATGTGTACCAGCACCCTTCTCGCCCGAGTGCCGGGTTTCTGGCCACATCCGGAAAGCTGCTAACAATAGCAGGGTTCTGGAAGATGGCTTTGGGCCTGTGACCCAAACACGTGCGATGCAGCTGTTGAAACGGATCCAAGGCAATGGATTCAGTATACTCTGGACGAGAATGCCCGGCGCCGCACAGCTCTTGAGCCACGTACATCGTCAGGGCACCAGACACCCTGAGGTTGCAGAGGGTACCATATTACCAGCAGTGGAGTTCATGCTATGTCACGGCTTCTGATTCTCTGGTGCAAAGTGAGCCGGGGGGACGCAGGAGTCCTAACACCAGCATGTCAAGTTGCCCTAATAGAACAATTAAGAGGGGAAAGTAGGCAGATACGTGTGTTTGCAGTCTCGACTGCGGCAGGGCACGGTCCGGAAAATGTGTCTCAAATGCCCCGATGCCCGACGTTGCGAATTCCCAGAGCGTTTACATGATGTTACGGAATCCATAAATTAAATTTCCAACTCACTCTTTGGCTTGCTCCTGTCTTCGTGTTCCCGAGGGCCGTGCTTTGGGTTGCCCTGGCCATTCACGAGACCGATGAGACACCATTCGCCACAGCCTGAGCTGCCAAAAGCAGCGCCGTTGTCCAGACACCGCACCCCATGAGGTCGGAGAGTCGACAACGCACCGTTGCCATGCTCATCGCGCCATCGGGCCCGGGCGAGACACAAAGCCACGCTCGGCGAGCAGGTCCGAAGCAGCAGCCTGCGAAGCAGCAACCAAACACTTCTGATAGCGCTATAGGCCGATAGGGTATGGCGACACGTCCACATTCGCCTTCTCCCTGCATGTGCTTCATACTTCTGTTCGAAGTTCGAAGGAGACAACTCTTATCGCACGCACGGCACAGTCGAGGAAGCATCCCCCCTGCCTGGCCAACAGCGCCAGAGACCTGGACACAGTGATCATGTAGACTTCAATGCTGTGACGGCGTTCAGGCTTCATCCCGCACGATGCGCAGTGACCGAGACGCTTGGGGCCTTCATGTTGTTCTTTGACATGAGGCCGGACAGCGCTTTAGTGAAGGTTGCCTCCGTGGCGCGCAGGCTTGTTCCCCGAAGCGACATGAAGGCTCGCTTCGCACTAAAGTGGGAAGCAACAGATTGTGCACAAAGCGAATGAGCCTTCTTCCCTCGCTGCAGGGGCAGTGCCAGTCCGCACCTGCTCTCGCCGGAGGCAATGCTGGGCATGGGGAGACAGAGCCGTGACCGAGAGTATCTTGGACACAGGGCTTCATTTCCATGGCTTTAGCGGTAGATCATACGATGTGGACAAGTCATTCAGTGAAGTGCTTACGTTGGAGTGCCTTCTTCGGAGCTGCATGCTCAGTTTGAACTCTCTTCCTCGAGTGACAACAGTACACGGTAGCGTGTGACCCAAGCAGCCCGACCGTCGGCCTCCGAACATATCTCTGTTAAGACAACACTTATGAATTAATGCACGTGCTGCAGCAGCGCGCTCCAGTTTTGACTCCCCCGCCGAATCGAGTAGCATCCCTGCGAAACTTGCAGCTACCACTCAAAGAGCGACTCCACCTGGCTGGGCACCGAGTTTTTGACTGACGTATTCTGCACCTGCCACCCCCTGCCGGCCTGCGCTGCCTTTTGGAACTCCCGGTGCGAATCCGGCACAGCCGCCTCAGCACTTGGGAACTCCTCGGCCAGGGGACGCGGGCAATCGCCCGGGAAGGTCTCGTGAAGCCACCTGAGCCCGCTCTCCTCTCAACTCCGTTCGCTGACCTGCTCGCTTTTGGCCCTGAGGTCCTGCGGTCTGAGACTGGCACTGTGCAAACTGACGGCCGTGGACCATCACCTCCGACAACTTCGTGGCTCGGGACAGCAGAAAGGAATTGGACCAAAGAATCAAAAAACATCCTCCGCCCAGTAGCTGATCCATCGTCTGCGAGGTCCTCGAGCGCCTTGAGACCGGCAGCCGGGAGTGGCTTGCCTGGAGCGAAGACCCCTTGGGTGGGCCCCTGCTGCACGCATTGCTTTCATTGGTTTCATTTGGTCCCTGGCCTCGGATCTCAGCTGCCAGCGCTTTGATGGCCTCCACGGCCTCGCGGCCATCCGCGATCGCAGCCTCGAACTGCGCCTTGTGGCCTGGCACCGCCATGCGCATTTCCGCGGGCTCCTGTCTATGCCTCGAGCCCGGGACCTTCACAGGTGTTCGGGCAGCACAAGTCATAGAAGCCTAAGTGCACGGCTGCCTTTAGTCTGAAAAGGCCACACCCCAGAGATTTCCAACCAAGATACTCGTGGTCCCATCGCAGTTGGAAGGCGAAAGCCTGGCACAATAAATCTGTCGAGCCGCTCTTATGCCCTGCTGCACGGAGCCCGTCCATGGCTACCGTTTTTTATCTATAAATTTTGCGCGAAGGCACATGTAATTGGGCACCAGCACCATGGGGGAAGGACTCTGCTCGTCGAGGGCGCCGACCATACGCAGGTACTCCGTGGTCTCTCCTGGCTCGGTGCAAATCACCCGCAAACACCAAAACTGACCTCTGAGTCGCAGCAGAAATTGAGTTAACACAAAGCGGCGGAAGAGGTCGCCCTTTCGCATGGCTGCCAGGCCCACCTCACAAAGGTAGTAGAGCAGCAGGGCATCTGCCCCGGCAAGTGTCGATGCACAGTGAAAAGTCAAGTATGCCGAGAAGGCCTGACAAGATGCTTCCAAATCGAAAATATGGAACGCCGCAAGGAATGCGAGCTCTGAAGTGATATCCCCTGACCCTCCTAACTCGCCGGCAGCCTAGCACTTACAAGACTTCACGACAAGCTCGAGTCATGTTGGACATTCCTGGTGGTTTGATTTGAGCAATGCCTTGCCGTCTGCACCGCCGGGCAATGCAGCAAGAGACTGAGCCATGCTTGCACCTCGGGGATTCAGAGGAAAAGGCAGGAGAAAGTGTGATGGACAGTTTGGTGTCCTTGTGCCGGAGTGCTTCATCATGCGCAACGTCCCAGAAATTCCAAGAATGTCGTGTAGGCTACGCATTTGGTTTCACTCAGCCCTCGACCACTGATTGCGACAAGGCAACACAGCTTTGCACTCCATTCGACCCGCCCACTCGATGGCCACCACTCGGTTGGGGTTCGCTGATGCTTCACATTGCCACACTGGACAAATCCCTTTCCAAGCGCTGGCTCTGACGCCCAGCTCCGGCATGTTCAAGGGTCGCTATCGCCATGGGAATCGGCTTGGACTTCAGCCGAGGCACACATCGAACCCGAGACCTCCCGGAAGCTCTCGAGCACCTCCACCAGACACAGACAGCACTTCCAAGCAAAGCTGAGAGCACGGGCCTTCTCGGAGGCAGCGGCTGCATCGTCGAAGGAAAGGTCGTTGCCTCGAAAGGTGTGGCTTGCCTTTTTTTTGAGGCTACGGAAGGACCTGCAAGATGCTTCCCTGCCTGATGTGGAGACTCGCTTTTGAATTTCACTGGCGATGGACTCGCGGATTCTGCCCCAGCCTTCCTCAGCGACACGAGTCGAGACAGCGCGATAGCATGCGATAGCCGTAGGAGCCGCCGAAAAGGGCCGCGTAGCTCTTGCCAAGCCTCGTAGACGCGATTCACGAAGGCGACCTCCTCGCGTCCCTTCTCCAGCGTTAGGGCATATCCGCTGTCAGCCTTCTGGCTGACGAACACGTAGTGGGCCATGAAGACCTCCTTAGACGCTTCGAAAGTTGAGTCTCTTCAGCTGCATATTTGTCGAATCCGGCAGCGGCGCTCAGGGAAGGTCCACGTTAAACGTTATGGGGCGCGAAGGTGGGCAGAGGAGTGCAAGAGGATAGGGGGGCCGGAGGACGGCATGAAGCAGAGGAACGAGAAAACTGGACAGCACGGCTTTTGCCCAGATGCCAGCACGCTCTCCAGGCCTGCTGCATCTGTGACGTCCTTCATGACATCCAGGTCATGTCATGCCTCTAACATAGAGCACAGCTGCAGACAGCCTCCATGTTCAGGTCATGGACGGACCAGCTCTGCTTGAGACGCTGTCCTTGCTGCTACCGGGCCATGTTTCTCTGAGAGCCAGAATAAAATGGATCCGAAGCGTCCACCGTGCAGATTAGCGTCGCTCGTCTCCATGCAGCAGATGCTCCAGCGTTGCTACGAAGACCGTCTCGGAAGCAGATCATCCGTGGACTTCAGACTGCGGGCTACTGCAGGCAAGGCACCAAAGTCTTGAGATTCAAGCCGGAGCCCACCTTCAAGGCGCCGTGCTATCCCGACCGAAAGAAGCCCTAGGTCGCGAGTGCCGCGCCTTCTGCTCCAAAACCTGGATGCCAAGCACGGGTTTAGCGGCTTGCGCTGCTGAAAAACAAGGCTGCTACAACCGTCGCGCCAGGCAGCTTGCAGCAGATGCCCTGCCACCCGACTTCGCAGCGCTTCCTTGTCACGAACAGCTCTCTGCACGGCTGCCCCGCACAACATCAAAGCTCTGGCTCCTTGTGATCGGGAGGCTGGCGACCGTCTCCAGCTGGATTCAACCCACGCACATACCTCTGGTAGGACTGCAGGAGCCCATGGACTTCCAAACCAAACCCAGCAAGGACAGTAATGTGTTGAGTCTTCTGCGATGCGGGGCGTCCAAGGTGAAAGTCTTGAGCCCTCCTCCCCATGTAAACTCACCGACACCAGGGGCTCGGGCCACGAGTGCTGGCGCAGGAAGTATTGGTGCAGCAGGTACCGGGCAGAAGAAAGGCCCAGTCCACCCTGAACCGAGGGTCAGGTCCAGTCTCAAGGCTGCAGAGCTGGGGCTTAAGACATCCACTTGTCCATGTCTTCGCTGATCGGCTGTAAAGGGCGTCTTTGACCCTCACTTGCCTCGATGTCGGCCAACGGGTACTCGTGAGGAAGCGTGGCATAGAGCGGGCGCAGATCCTGAGACCGACCCCTCTTCACTTGCCTCTCACAGACCCCACTTACAGGCTCCCGCCGATCCTCCTCGAGTTTCTGCAGCCGGGAGCCATCGAAGGCCGAGTGGTTCCTGAGCTTCACCACAGCTCATTCCTCGTTGCTTGAAACGCTGAAGGCCAGCCACCCAGCCAGGCCAGACTCGATCTCCGCAACGAGAGCACGCTCCAGCCTCGCAAATGCTGTCAGATCTCACGCACAGCTCTGCTGCGGAGCACGGCTTGGGCCAAGGCCTGGCACGGCTCTCCTCCTCGTCGCAATCCGCCACAGACTTGCGAAGCCTGCGAACCAAGCGCCGGTCTGGGGATTGCGCTTACAATCCTGGACACCGACTTCGGTGAGCCCGCCAGCTTCAAGCAAAGACAGAATCCAACCGGAAGCGTCCTGGTCTTCACGAGCCGAGGCCGTGCCAGGGATGTCAAAGCGCAGACTCCCGGACTCAGCCCTGCATGGCAGCTGTCAAAGGTGTTTGGCGTTCAGGCGCGGGGTTCGGCCTGCAGCCTGCAGATTGGAGTGGCGAGAGGCCCCGGCCTTCGGCTGTGCAGGACTCGTCGTCGTCGCTGTAGCCTCTGAAAGCCCGAAAGTGTTCAGGCCCGATGCACTATGCTCACTGAGTTCCGGAACGGGCACCATGGGCGCCGAGCGAATCTGAGGAGATCCTGGCAATTCAAGGCTTCAGCTCAAATGGGAAGCACCCTCTTCACTTCTTGCATAGGAGCATCTCTCCGGAGTCGTCGAAGGTTATGGAGGTCTCCCCGGAGGTCTCTGTGGTCTTCGAGCCCCGGAGCCTCCAGATACCCGACTCAACACGGAGCTTTCAGCCCAAAGCTTTGATGCACACAGGGGCACCTCGACTGCATCAGCACAACCCCCTCGGCAGAAATTGCCGCGACGGCGTTCGGCTGGGAGCCGAGGGCTACGATGAACAGAAAGAAGCGCCTCGCTCCATGTCTTTGCGCCCTTAACCCCAAACCCTAAACCCCTAAACCCTAAACCCTAAATCCCTAAACCCTAAACCCTAAACCCCTAAACCCTAAACTCCTAAACCCTAAACCCTAAACCCTAAACCCAAAAGTGCGGGAGTCTTCCCCGGCGCGCTTCTGGGAGCTGAGGTCAAGGCATTGCCATTGCTTCGCTAAGCAGATGTAGCGTAAATCACTCAGAGCTGAGCGGCTGCGGAAGAGAAGTCTGGGTTTCAACTCGAAAAAAAAGGACGTCGGTGGGACGTCTGTAGGTACACAATTACTGCCTAATGCTTCGAGTGTTGAGGTCTTGTCGGGGTTGCAGACCTGCCCCCCCAAAAAGGGCTGCGCGCACGCTGAGGGCAGTCAAAGAGCCGATGGCACCTGCAGCGCAGGCCCTCCAGGAGCTCCTGTGGTAGGAGGGTGATCTCCCCTGGCCTCGGCTCCGAAGAGAGCTTTGCAGAAGTTGTGTTTACTAATTTACTGCAGCTTCCGCCGTTCTTCCTACTGATGCCGAGTGCTACTGCTGTTCACCTATCCCCATCTGCATGCTTCACGTCACGTGCCTTGTCCTTGAGCGGTGTAGCAGTGTACCATTTTCTCTCTCGGCCTCGGGCTGGGCCATGAACTCCCGCAGGCCATGCCTGCGGCGTCAAGCGAAGGCAACGTGAAAGGAAGACCAGCAATGACAAATGCATGCCTCGTACGTATAATGCAAATGATGCCAACGATACCGACAAAGCTCGTGACACAATATGGACCAACATGGTGTGTTATGTACAAGAAAACATATACGTGTCTAAATGCGCATGTTTGTATGCAGTAAATCTTCATCTTCATTCGACAGGCTGAGAGACCGCTGGTCGCGCCTGTTGAATTGCACAACACAAACGAATTCAAGTGAAACTAGTCCTGCGATGTCCTGCGGGCTACTGAAACCCTCTTTCGCAAGGCTGAATCCTACTGAAGCAAGCCAAGATGTGTGTATAAATACATATACACGCACCCCTACATATATGAGAGTGCCACAAGAAGACGCAAACAGTGCTCGTGAGCTACGTACGAGCAGTAAAAGGAAATGAAGTCAGCCGTGCCCTGTTCCAGGGGCAGCGCCGTTGCACCAACCGGTCGTCCTCGTCCGGGAAACCGTCCAGATCCTCAAAGCGTGCTTCAAAGTCAGGGTTCAGAGAGGTAGGGTTCAGGGTCTAATCTGTACCGCGTGGTACGTTCGGAATGAAAGCTGTTTCGCGGGGGCTGACTCGGAGGCTACACAAGTCGAGGCAGCTTTGGTTGTTGTTGATGGAACCGCTTCAGCGAGCACAAACTTCACAAGTGCCAAAGAAGCCGCAAATGTCTTGCTACCCCGACCCACTGAGGATGCCACTGCCGCTCCGATCTTCTGGCAGATTCGGTATATCTCCCCAGTTTTGCCTCACAGATCGAGCCGATTTCTGGAGTTAAATGGCGATTCTTACAAAAACCAGAAAAAAAAAACAGAGCAACTAAGAAAAACAAGCCAGCAGGCGATCGAAACAGACTAGAGACCGTGCGAAAGACGAGCAGCCGCTTGAAAGGGACTTCACAAGCTAAGCACGAGGAGCAAAGCCGCTCGAAAAGTACTAACGCCATTGCAATGCAGTAGCGAACCTCTCTGGAAAGCGATTCCAATTCTATTCTCTCGTCTGCAGCTGCGATCTTCACATGTTTCCTTGCAGCAGCAGGTATGAGTGCCTCCCCGGGAACCAGCATTCGTAACCCAATTGTACAACTGAAAGATGGCAGGTTTCCCTTTACCTCCCATTCTGGGCTCTAAGACGCCTAAGTTTTCTAATGGGCCAGGGTTAATATAGGATATCACTTTCGCTGAGTGCTCGCAGGGTTACCCCGAAAATCCTAAACCCGAAACGCATCAAATGGCAAACCCTACAAGTTCACTCGAGAAAGCCTGGAAAGCCCTAATTTCCAAGACCCTAAACCCTAAAAGTGTGCCGGTTAAGCGCAAACGGGGATGGGCGGCAAAGACGCAGCAAGGACTGATAACCCGGAACCCGAGACGGGACAGAAACCCCACTGGCGGATGGTGGAAAGCAGTATCCTCAACCCAAAAGGGTAAGACAAGTGCCAAGAAGTGGTGGTAATAGTAGGGTAGGAGCAGGAGTACCTGTAGCAGGAGGAATAGTAGTAGCAGTGGTAGTGGTGGCAGGAGCAGCGGTATGAGGAAGGAAAGCGAAAAAGAGTCTTACTGTGCCACGGCTTCGTGTAACGGCGCACCCAGGCCTTTCATGGCGGCGGTGTTCATGGCAACACGGGTGGTGTACCTTTGTCGAAGCTTGCCGTGCACTGCCAAGAACATCTCACCCTTTGCGAGGGGTGGGCGAAGGCTCCATCTCGTAGCGTCCTCTTGGGGAAGATTCGAGTTAAAGTCTCAGTCTCAGCTCTACGCTCTTCCCACAATCATCTCGGATTGCACGCTGTCCTAGACACTCGTAGCTCGCGTGAGCCGCTTCTGCCATGATGGCTTCCAGCACATCCTGCACGCCAACTTTACGGGTGCTGGGGGGCGGATTTGGAGCTCCAAAATCCATAGAGTCTGTCCTCCTTCTGTGTAACACTGGTGTATTCGCCTGCAAAGGCTCAAGCATAGAGGAGGCCGTGATAGTCGCAGATAAATACCGATTGCATGGGGTCAGAAAACTTGCATGTCCAGCCTGTAACTTTCTTCAAGATTTTTTGCATTTCCGTCAAATCTCGGTGCACGAGGGCAGGATTTCTGCTGGCACGTGCAAGCACGACCAAGTGTCTTGCGAGATTCATCGGCGGCCGGACCTCGGCCGCGGTTCTTGAAGTTTCTGTGAAACTTTCTCTTGCCGATCCCAAAGTGAAGCCGAAGCCTGAGCCTGAGCATCAAACCGATAGCCAGTCGGGCCAATTTCCACTTCGAAGTCGTCGCAGGTCGTGTCTCGGGATGTCAGCCGCTGGGAAGACCGTGTCCGTCCATGTGCGAATGTCCGAGTAGGAAGCTATGTGCTTCGTGTTCTGGCGTGCCCCAGACCTGCAGGGAAGAAATTTGAAGGATGACCGCTGTGCAGAAATTCTTCGAACTTCAAACTTCTGACACGTCCGCTCTGGCCTGCTCTCCATGCTTTGCAGCACACTATCTCAGCACACGAAGCAAATGACAAACTACACTGCAGACGTCGAACGCCGCCTGCAGACCCGCCAGGGCCCGTACCCATATGCTTCCGCTGGGGAGACGCGGGTGATGCAGGAATGTCCTTTGAGCAAAGAGTTGTGGCTGTTTGCCTCGAAGCCAAGGGAGGGATTCCTTCGGAGTTCGCGGAGTTCTCCGAGAGGCCTTCCTGAGCAAGTGGCATACTTTCCGTTGTCTTTGCGTGTCGTTGCTGTGTGAGCAGCCTGCCTCACATTCTGGCTCTCAGCTTCTGGGTGCTCTCCCAGGGCATCCTGCAGTACCACAGGGCACGACCGGACCCCTTGTTCAAGACACTCTGTCATTGTCAAAGGACACACGAGTGTCTGTTTCATGCCCTCGTTCAGATGTCATTGCTGCCAAACGACAGAATCCAGAGTCATTCTGTCCCGCGTAGCCGTCCGCCTGGGATCTAAGCTCAGCGCTGCACAATGGCAATCCCTCGACACCTCGATTCTTAAGCTAAGGGCGGCGACGGCGAAGCAACACTCGTCCTCAGCATGTCAAAAGTTCGAAGTGCTTTTCGCAGTACTACCTGGTCTTGCAGGCTTCGTCGAAGACACCACAGTCCAGTAACTGTGTCGGAATTCTTGCCTAAACCAGACAACGACAAAAAAGTTGCAGCTGCGCGTCGAGGCCATGCTCGGAAGCCCCCGAATGGGAAAGTGCCGGGCCTGGCCGCTCATGTCTTCCCTTCTCAGGGTACAAGGTCCATGGAGGTGTCAACTTCGGCTTCGCCCAACCTGGCCCGAGCTGCGTCACCAAATTGCGCGAGGCGCGAATGTTTGGCCACTATTGAAGTGGGCCTAGGGCCTATGCATCAAGCTAAGCTCAGATCCTGTGTTGCGTCTTTGTCACTGCCACAGTGTTGGGCCTTGTAGGGTTTCGTGGTGTCTGGATGTCTCTGGGTCTGATGTGCACGCACTGCTCGTCTATAAGCAAGGAGCTGTTGAGCCAGCTGTCCGGTCACCCGTCACTGCCGTAACTACGATCTGCCGGCTGAACTTGGAAGACGGTCACAGCGCTCCCAGTTCGGACGGCTCGCCGCTGATCATCTGTCGAGCGCTTCAAGTAGAAGACCTGTCATCGCACATCATCGCGCGACTTCGATGGATTTGGCTGCAAGCTGATGCGACCACTATTGCAAACACTGTTTATTCTATCGAGCAGATTCCTGCGCCACGTAAACAAACCCTCCCCGCCCTCAACGAGGAGATCGATCCAAGCCTCGGCAAACATGTCCTGTCCCTCTTCCAGCGGCGGTCGCTCTGTCACCGAGTCTAGCACAATCTACGTCAAGGAGTGCAGGGAGCCGTCTAGGGCATGCGCTCGCAACTCGCAAGAGGCCCAAATGTCATCAAACCAGAAACCAACCCAGACCTTGAAGCTGGGCAAAGGCCACGCTCCGAGGGCGGGGCTGAGGCATCCTTGGCTTCGGGCTTCGCCGGGCTTCCAGAAGGGGATTCACACACTCAAATGACGAATCATCCTATCACACGGCACTGTACACGTAGCAGCAACCAAATGGTGTGCCGATCCGCTGTGCAGCGCCCAGCAGTCCGTTGAGAGTCTCCTCTGTGTCATCCTGCGAGACATGGAGACATCTACGCCTGAGAGCTTGGCAATACTTCCAAGACCAGCGGCCTAATCCACAACTAATCCACAAGACCCTGCAGCCGCGGCTCCAAGCAGAACCGATGTAATGGACCCATGCCCCATACGAGACCATGTAAAGCAAGCAGACACACGCAACACACCCCATCACCAGAGTCTGCCGAGTGCCTCCAGAGTCCAAAGCGGATAGCCGCTGGTGAAGCACTGTTGAGCAACATGGTTGCCCTGACATGGATATTGCGAATTGTTTGCGTGGCGATTCAAGACAGGTACGCATGACTGTTCAACGACTGGTACTGCTGCAGAGACATCGTGGAACAGGCCTCGATCGTTCGATTTTCCATTTCCTGCGCGCCCACCGTTCGTTGGTTCGCTCTCGTGCCGCTACCGTCTTTCTCGTCTCTGACACCTGATGTAACAGGCTTGAGCAAGGCCACCTTCTTGCCGTTGAAATGGGTGTTGAGCAGCTCGCTGACAAACCTCTCTCCAAAGAGAAAAACTTGCAGCCGTTTCGTTACCCCAGGTCAGTCAACGACAGAGGCCTTGCCCTTGCAGTCGGTCACGATGAAACATGCATGATTCGGTGCTAAGGTCGAGGTTAGCCCTCCTGCAAACAATGGTGGGAGAATGGGTCATGGGTCCTCCCGCTCGGGCAGCGGCGCATGTGGAAAGGCCCATGTGTAACCGAAAGTTTCTCGCATGGTGTCTGCGATGACGAGGCCTGTCCTTGCAGACAAATCCGATCAGACTGTCAAACTCAACAGCCCGTGGGTTGCCACGACAGATATGACAGGTAGAACCAATGATCATGTCGATCAAGACAGGCTGCTGGGAAAGAGAGCAGAGGGGCACTCCAGGTTTCTGGCATGGCATCCCCATTGCTGATGTGCTCCAGGGCCTTTCAGCGAACCACGAACAGCTGGGGCTTGCGAAGTCTGAGGCTCTCCAACGGCGCATGTCTCAGGCCAACACCAGGTTCTTGTAGACGTCGGGGAAAGCCCCCACCTTAGCTTGAGGTCGCTTTTGGGGCCTTGCTGCTGGCTGCCCCACCTCCAGCAGCAGCCACTTGTCGAGCGCGTTCCTGTCCTCGCCCTTGAAACGTACGTCGTACCTTCCAAGCTCGGACGCGTGCGAACCACACGATGACAATGGAATCTTACGGCGAACACATCTCTTGTGATTTCGATGATGGGCAAGTCCTGGTCAAGAACGTCCGAAACACTTTTGAAGCGCCGTCTGCTTCAAGTGTCTCCTGCTTCTCGTTGCGGAAGGTCGCCTCCTCAGCTTGCTTTACGATGAACCTCGCAGCGTCAGCACCCGATCGACCCTGTGCCCCGTGAGCAGACGTTATGACATTTGAAATAAATTGAATTTATGTCGGAAGGACCTGCCGATGTCGAGAGCAATCAGCTTAACCTTTGCTGCCACATGTCACAAAAACCGCTTGTTTTCAGCTGTCCCGCCAGGTCAATGCTGTCTGTCCGGCTCAGCTTGGGACGACTTTAGTCTTGCGTGGCTGCTGCGTCACCACCTGATGGAATCCAAACGTGTGCCAGAAATGCTGGATGGCAGGACGGCCAGCCACCTGCCACTCGTCGGGCCGCAGTTGCTTGCCATTCGGGGTGCGGATCAGGAGTCCAAGAACCTGTCCCGGCTCAGCACCGTGGTGCCGACCAAGCACACCACTCTCCGTCGTCACGACCGCATCCCGCTTGCCTCCAGGTCATCGTCAAAGTCCCCTTTCGTTGCCTCAGCTGCACTTGTGGGCAGACTCCAATGGCAATACGAGAAACACTGCTGAAGCGTTTAGCATCTCGTCGTTGCGCCCGATGCCCGGGCCCCGCCCCTACCCCAGCCACAGGCCATGCCACAAAACAACTCGGCGACCCGCGATGGGCAACAGGAAAGGGTGAAGATCACCACCGATCTGGCAGCGGGTGCAGTTTGTCTGAAAGTCGTTCTTGTGAAAGCCTCTGGCAACTCAGGCCTTGCTGGCATCTTGCATGTGGCAGTGCAGCAGATATGAGAAAGGACTACGACATTTGCTTTTCTACGACATCCATGAACACCGCACAGAGGCGAGATGCAGAGCATTATCTCTCCGCCTCCCGCCAGTCATTTTCTTCACCAAGGATCGTGTAGCCACTCGCCTGTTCATACGTAGCGAGAGAGAAGGCAGAGGCAGACCGGCAGACAACCCGGGCACCTGCAAAACTTGGAGAAATGTCTCCAGCTTCTGAGGGGGCTTGACCTGAGACTTTCCGCTTCGAGGGCTCACCGGCTGACCCCGCTTAGCTTTCTTGCGTGCCAAGCTGCTTCAAGCACATCTTTCAGAAGTGATTGCAAAGCCTTCACCTGCAATTGGCATCAATGACGCTGGCTTCCGCAAGTGAAACACTGCGAGAGACACGGAGACAGACACACACAAGGGAAGGCAGGCAACACGACAAAGAAGACAGGCAGACCATTGAATGGCTGTAATTGGTGGTACTTCGTAGTATTTCGTGGTGGTATGTCGTTGTGCGCGGTCGTGCAACGCCGCAGTACGTACTGCGTGGGCAGTACATGGAAGTAGCGGTAGCAATTTGTAGTACATCATAGTTCGCGGTAATACGTGGCAGTACATCGTATTACATGGGAGCGTGTGGTGCTTTTAGCACGTCCTAATACCACAACATGTGACAGCAAGTGGTAGTACACGGTAGTACTTCGACCTGGCTGTACTCAGTAGCATGGCGGTACATGCTACAGGATCGTACGTGCTAGTATGTGCACCTGAATGTCGTTTGAAACATCGACGAGAAAGCTAGAGAAAGCACGAGAAAAGAGGAGAAGAAAAGCACAACTGAAACGGGTGAGATGCGCGACTGGAATGGGAAATTGAAATCTTGTGAAAGAGATTTATCAAACTTCAAGAGCAATGAACA